TGGGATTCGTTACACTTATGTCGCTTTTCAGGTGTGACAAATGGAACAAGCAGGTTCATGCATGTAAAGTCAATGGACAGCTTGTTTATCTTCTCCGATGTGGGTGGGATCTAAAATCTGTGAAGGGATTTTCTCTGCTGGTACTTCCTTAACATTCCATACTTTTGTTATCAACCAACACTCTTTGGTTTATGGCCTGTTTGTCAGGCTTTTCCTCACTCAAATTTCCCACACATTGTCCATTCCATGCCTTACAGCTGAAAGACGAGCTATTCTTTATCAAGCAAGCAACCAGACTATGACCCAGTCATATGACAATCAGATCATGATAAAGTGATGAGAAATGTAAGGGCACTTTTGACAAAACACGAGATGATGAGTGAAAAGGTGCAACATTTATGTCAATAAAATTATGGCCACTGACTGCGTGTGGATAGAAGACAGAAGCATTTAGTCCAGGGGTGCCCATTACGTCGATCGCGATTGACCAGTAGATCAAGGACTGGTCCCAAGTCGATCCGAGGGGTTTAGAGGGGGGGAAAAAAAAAAACATTTGTGTCTCTGCATGTTAGTAATATTTTTTGTGTTAATGCACACTGCACCCTAATCATTCTATCAGTCTCACTTTCACAAAAAGTATTTAAAAAAGAAAATAAAATAAAGCAGGTCATCTTGAACCTACGGTGACGTGTGACTGCGTCACTGGAAGTTGTTAGCGTTCAGCATTTGCAGCTTGTGATAAGAGTTGTTGCGCTATATCTTTTATCGTTGTCATTATTTTCATTCAGAGTTTGTTTTGTATAATTCACCCAGGGGACGGGCAAAGAATGGGAATCTGGAGGGCCGACAGAAGCATTTTAAAACGGTACGCATGAGCTACGATCGTTAACAGGCTGCCTAAGTGCGTCGCATGCCTCAGCGTCAGGCTATTGCTCATCATGGCATGCGTGTGTGCGTGCGTGCGTATGTGCGCGTGCTCGGTAACGGATCGATCGCGAGAGGTTGGTTGATCGAAAAGTAGATCTTCGGTCAAAAAAGTTTGGGGCACCCCTGATTTAGTCCATATTAATTGATTTGTCGTCTTAGCTGTGGCTCCACTCAGTGGTGGTGTGAATTAAGGTGTGAATGGTTGTTCATCTCAATATGCCCTGCGACTGACTGGCAACCGGTTCAGAGTGTAATCTGCCTTTCACCCGAAGTCTCCAACACCACTGCGACCCTGTACAGGATAAGTGGTTCAGGTAATGGGTGGGTGGATGGATATTTTCATGGCGACATCTGAGAGAGAGAGAGAGAGAGCGAGAGCGAGAGAGAGAAGCAATATAGCAACGTCATGGTGATTAGTAATGGTATCAGTATTACTTGTAAATTATAATTTTGTGGGTTTTAATTTCCCACAATGCTTATAATTAATACAGAATAAGCGGCATTTATCAAATAACTTTAAGAGATGAAACAAAAAACAAATGTCTATTTCTTTCGGTCTCAATAAATATAATTTGCAGCATTTCAGGCAACAATGATTCATTTTTGTTGTCACAATTAAAATGCCCTTGGAATAGATATTTGAAAGTGAAAATGGATGAATGGATGAATTAAAAAAATAAATAAACAATTCAGTTACACTTTCCGGGTTATAGCCTGCTTATATGGCTGGGGTGCCGCCATTTTTTTCTCCATATGAAAACACCACTGTCGCCGCCAGGTCCCTAAAATATCCTCTGCCCTATTTTGTGTCTGGCGTCTACACGCCGAGTGCTCAATAGCAGCTTTTCTCTGCAGCGATGAACAAATACGACCCGCTTTGACCCCTGTAGATGCCATCAATGAAGACAGTGTGAGAGAGAACACTTGAGCTTTAACAGTACCACTCTTGACCACCACTGAGTCATGCCCCGTGTCTCCCCCTAAGGCTGCTTCTGGTCCTCCGTGTTTTGCAATTATAGTGGACCTCTTGTGCCAAGTTGCGTCTACTTGCTCCCGAGGTGCGAATGACATGGGCTCGGTTTAGCCACAGACATCCCTCGCCGCATTTCCATGTACGTCTGCAGCCTGTGTCATGTCATATATCACACATAGGATATGACATCCAAATTGCCCTCAGATTGCAGAGAAGACGTATTTCACAGCCTTTTTCCTTGCCTTCTTTAAGTTGCCTCAGGCTTTCGTCTGTGTCTCGCATACATAATGAATAACCAGCTAACAATTAGAGGCTACAGCTGAGCAATCTTCGTCAATCCTGCCCCACGGTGACGTTTGCACGCAACACTCTCCCGCGCAGCCGAGCACTCTTTGGCCTCACATAGGAGATGATTGCTGTCTTCTACATCTGCAGCACATTTCGTTCTTTTGCGTTTGACAAGTGTTTGACAGTAAGAACGTTTTCAAATCAGCTGATAGTCACACTTGCTTTACTTTCACATTATTCTGACCGCAAATCATTTTTCCACAAATAACTTGGCCCAACACCAATTTGTAACTTCGAAGAATGCAGAGACAAAAAGCACAATTAAAGTTGCGTCTGTGTGACAGTGTGAGCTACTCATGAAAATACTAGAAAAAATTAGGCTTTTGAAAGATTTAAAAGGCTAAGATGAGCACACTTTTAATGTACGTTTTTAATGTATGACAATTTAGTCATCTCCCATGTCTCATATTCATGTTAGCCATGGTGCCTGCAGCTGAGATGTCTTTGCTCTCAGTAGGCGAATGCATATTGACCTCTGCTGGTTGTGTCATTTTGTATTTTCTTAACAGAATTCAAATATCGGCTACAGTTGTCATGTGTAACCCCACATGGGCTTACTGCTGGTTGAACTGGCACGGCTGCATGGACCCATATTAACCTGTATGTTCGTATGTTACGCAAGGCTGTTTTGGTGTAAAATGAAGCCCCCCGAGGGACCGTGTAGTCAAGACACACACACACACACACACACACACACACACACACACACACACACACACACACACACACACACACACACACACACACGTATTCAGACTATTCACATGCCCTCCTGTTTATTTATGTATTTATTTTTGCAGCAGAGAATGAATGAATTGCATTTTGCCTGACTTTGTTGAAATTTGAAATTCTGACTGTTATTACCACTTGGTCTGTGTATGTGCCTGTGCGACCCCCGGGGTGTCATGATTCGGTTTGGGACCAACAGGTGGCACTGTAGGGCTCTCCCTGCAGCTGCACACCTGTTGGTCATTATGTAATTAGTGTTTTAAAAAGACTCCCAACCCGAACACTCGGTGTCGGGTCATTGTTTGTTGCTTTGTGCTACTGTCATGTTTGTTTCAGTCGGGTTTTGGTCATTGTTATGTTTTATCTTCGGTTATGTGTTTTGTTTGATACTTTGGACTTTGTTTGTTTTGATTTAGTTTTCTGAGTTTTAATACAATCGTTCAAGTACACCCTGCTCCTCCCTCCTGCCTGTTTTTTGGGGTCCGCCACCACCTCGCAGACGTGACACGGGGTTAGCATCTCTTTGCTTTGCACGCATCCCACACCCATGTGGGCTTCAGGAATCAGCCTAGTGGTCAAAATAAAGCAGTTCTCCATCCATCAATTTTGGACGAGAGGTAAGGTACACTCTGGAATGATCAGCAAATCGGTCTCAGGCGATCAATGGGCAAATAACCAAACGCTCTCACGATCACCTCAATGGGCAGTTTCGAGTCTTAAGTTAACTAGCATGCATGTTTTTGGAACGTGAGAGGAAACAACGATGCAGAGGGAAACCCACACTGATCTTTCCAGAACCTCTCGACTGGGAGGCAGACAACCACGACGCCACTATCGTGAGAAAAAGACCACCTGTGTGAAATAAGCACGAATACAAATAAATGGCACATTTGACAGACTCGTCAACAAACAAAATATTCAATATTTGTACTAATTAGTACTACTAATAAGGTTATTAATAACAATGATAATACGAAGAACAATAACAATTCGGGACCAAGTGACCCACGTTGATTTTTTTTAAATTTTCAATATTTGGCAGAATAAAATTTCAATGACCAATTAATCAGATGATTAATTTAAAAAATTGTATAAATATAATGAATACTTTAGCGCTTATGAAAAATGCAACATTGAAGCCAGCCTGTGTTCATGCTGCTTAATAAGCAGCAGTTCAGTGAGAGGAATGTGAACCAAGAGAACGATACAAGGAAAGAAATGCACATTCTTAGCATTTCTCCCTGGCTAATAATTAATGCACCTTCATAGAACCCAAACGTTGCCGTTGATACTATGGTGGAAGGGTTGTGTGTTGGGTCAGTTCAGAATAGTCTCAAAAACAGCAGACCCATGAGAACAACACATGGATAGCCTAACGACAGACATCTTATCACTGGTCATTTTACCAGCTAATCATACTGTGTGTGTGTGTGTGTGTGTGTGTGTGTGTGTGTGTGTGTGTGTGTGTGTGTGTGTGTGTGTGTGTGTGCGCGTGTGTGCGTGCATGAGCTGATTAGATAGAAGTACAGGAGAGTGAGTGTGGGGAAGAGTTTGCCTTCCCTTTTATGAAGCTTCTTTGTTTCCCGGAGTGGTTCACGTAGGAGTTACCCTTTTGTAATTACGGCAACATAAATCGTGCTCACTTCCCACATCGATCCAGGTCCGCTCAGTCCGCAGCTGCAGTGAACGTGCATCCACATAAACAGGAGGCTGGGCTCACAGCAGTCACCGATGATGAGTCACACTTAAGTGCATTATTTAAAGTAACGCTTTTCAGATTTTTTGACTGGTTTTATGGTTAGCGGGACACTAAATTATCAGCCCGCATATCAGGTTGAACACTAGGATGCTGACACATCCTGTTGTTTTTTTGGTCATTTGTTTGTACTGAGAAACAGCAAAGTGGAAACAAGTTCCTTGCACTGTTTCTAATGACAACAGTAAAGGTTGCGTGAGACTGCACCACTATGGAAACACAAACGGAACCACTGTTTCGACAAAAGCAACCTAATGACTTACGCACCTCGGGTCGACAAGGCATCAAGAAATCCCAAGGACACAAACGGACCATCAGAGCAGCAATTATACATGAACGCACGCAAAAGAATATCAATAAAGGGATATCTCTGCATGGGTCAGCAAGTCCAGGTAATCCGAGGTGTCTTTATCTAAGCACCATGCGGTTCCACTTTGGTGATAATCAGCCATCACATGTTCATTAGCGTCAATTCAGTGGGGGTACTCAGTGTGACGTCATCTTCCCAGAAGCAATGCCTTGAAAAAGTCAACGTTTACCCATTCCAATTCGGCTCCACTACACACAAGCGCTCTCTGTGGCTAATTAGACAAGTCGCACTGAGAACTTTCACCGCGCTCATCTCATTGGCATGTCAATAAGTGTTTTCACAAGCAGGGTAAACTACATGCACTCTCACAGTTCAAGCCTTAAATGAAATAGCAGAAATGACCGGTCCTACTGAACACTAAACAAAATAAAGGTCAGCCTATCGAACACAAGTTTGAACATTTTTGGGGGTATAAAAATGTTGAAGTGCACCGATTTTAATGGAATTCACTTTAACTAACTAACTAACTAACTAAATAACTTATTTTGTTCAGTAAACACAAAAAAAATGTAAGATGAATTATCAACGTACATTTCTATTAATTAGTCATGGTCAATTTCATGTCGGATCAGCTTGCCTGGTTCATCTTTATAACCAACAAAACCTTTAAGTATTGAGCAGAGGCTGCATCTCATCTGCACGCGTAGCAAGAGTGAAAAGCACGAAAGTAAATCACTTACCTGTTTGTCCAATTGAATCTGTGACTTATCCCATGTTCCGCTTCTCTTACTGATAACCAGGTCATAGGACTTCCTGTTTGTCAGTGTGATGCGAGGGAGGGAGCTCCCTGGTCCTAAACAATCACCTGTAGGAGGACTGCATGGTTCGCAAACAGAGGCTAAGCTATTTTTTTAAACTGCGCTTAAGGGCCGTGCAGTCAGATGGTTTACTAATTTAACACCGAGTTAACCTAATATGGCTTTTGTAGGGTGTCTGGTACTTTCCAGCTCTCCACCTGCTCATCTTTTTGTGTACTGCGCACTCACTTACAGAGGCTCATGTGGTCGGACTCGTTCTGCCTGTTCTCCCGCAGACAAAAGGTCTGCGTGTGGATCCGTTTTGGAGGCGAGTAGTCCAGAGCCAACATTGACACACACGGCCTCGTCGGAAAAAAAATACACCAACGCAACCCGCATGTTTGCTATCGAATGAAGGCTCCGACTCGGGCTGAAAGACACAAGAGTGAATACAAGAAGCAGTGAGACCAGCTTGGACAATAGTCAGATTGTTAGATGGGCTACCGGACGGGTTCGGCGCCATATCAGGTTACATGAATCAAACCAGAGGGAAGAAAAGAGAGGACATTGTTCTATAAATCTGCAGAGAAGTTACTTCTGTATTTCCCTCACTTTGCCTGGGAGTGGATCAGCAGAGCTCAATGGTCTGCTTAAAGAAGACGGGTGGGCATGCGGGGTTCTTATTTAATAAAGGACCGAGCCAAGACTGGCAGGCGAGTAAAGACATTCCTGGGCTTGATTGAGCTGCTGTATATTGCCTTATAGATTAAAAAAAAAAAAAAGCAGGCAAATACTTCATTAAAGGACCCCTGCAATGACAGACTGAACCCCTATCATTACCTCTGAACCCCACAGGCTCATACGGTCTTGCTCCCAGAGAATATCATCGATCGGGCTGGCTTACAGCCTGAGATTTACAGCGATCCATAGATGGAGAAACTAAAGACGGGGCTATGTTGGAGCCTGTTTAAAGATTCTGTACCTGTTGGACCTGTCACAAAATGAGAGGACAGTCTGGATCAGACTCATTTCCTCTGTCTAAGCTCCCCTGGACAATAACATTACAGGAAGCAGATAGGCTGTCTGGCATTTGAGAAACAACATTAGCCTTGGTCAGACACCCACTGGAGCCCAGCCGATATGTCACAGTCCACAATCACAGTAAGATAAAACGTAGCTAAGGTCAAACTGATATACGTAAAACAGTAATGTGATTTAAAATGAGGATAGTGTGACTATTATTGAATACACTGATGGTGTAGCGGTAGCCTACACTCTGCTGACTTTAGTATAGGCAGTTTGGATTCAGCTCTAATGGATTGTACATTACAAAAAGTAAAAATATGACGCAATAACGGGCTCTATTTTCATGGCTGTCTTAAATTTTGCAGGGTGGAGAATTCGTGAGAAGGAGGGCTGCGCCGCTGTGGGTCACAACTGACTTGAATCATGGTCAATCAAAGCAGTTCTTTTCATTCCCTTTTAAATGTGGCACGTTTGATGTTGCCAGTCCATATTTTGACATCCTGAAAATCAGATTTTGGCTAGGATTCTGAACAAGGCCTTAGTCTTGACATGGTGGAACCCCAGCTGCACAGTGAAGTGAGCACTTGGAGAACATGGCTGCAAGTGTAACATGGGTAGAATTGTTTTTCTTTTAGTATTTTGGTAGATGGCAGCAGGGAGAAAGGGCTGTTTGCACTGTTGTGAGAGTTAACGCATCCAACTTGTTTGCCTGCCGATGAAAGATACTCCCATCATTCTCTTTAAATTTAGCCTAAGAGAGGCGCACACACTTTTTCACATTGAGACAATAGAAGACTCAGTGGAGTCAAAGTACGTTTCTTAAAGTACTGCAAGCAGAGCTCCATGGCTGGATGATATAAAGTTGACCAGGTTGATTACAGATCACCGTTGTCAAGTCGGCACTTGGAGAACACCTTCCACTGTGGTCGTTCTCCTCTGTTTTGTTACAGGTGCACAAGATGGGGCAATGGATTTATTTTCACAGGTAATTTTACTCATGTACTACTGTCAGGTCAAATTGACAGGAACAAAACAAACAAAAATAACAACACATATTTTGAAGAAGGTTGAAAACTGCCCTCTTTAAATGAATTCCTTGGTAGGGTTACAATAAATGCTTACCGGTGCATTGTGTCATTTATGAAAACCAATGGTGACACCCGAACTAAATCTGACCTCAACTATCAAAGTACATGCTGCAGGTTGGAGATAAACCCCTCATGAAACCAGCTGTGCTTTACGTTCAGTGCAATTCACAGTGTTTGGCTAAATGTGTCACATTTGTCTTGCTTGTATTTTTCTACAAACAATATGCTGTGTGATCACTACTGAGGCACGTGTGTGCAGGTGCACCTCTAATGGTAGATAAAGCACATCAATAAAAAGACGATAAGGCTGCAGTGACGTAAACAACCGCGACTTACTTTGGTTAATAACAATAGATACTAAGACAATAGTGCTTGGGTGAGGAGCTGTCAGAGTTAGTGCAATGAGCCGTTTTCGTTGAAGTTGGTGACATTTGGGGACAAAGGGCACAGTGAGGGGTCTGTCCGCCCTCCGGCGCTTGCAGACTCCTCCCCGCCTCCCACCCTAAAGGCCCCTCCCTCAACACTTTTGTTTCATTGTTTCATTTGCTCAGTCTTATCTTATTATATCTGCTTCATCCTCCACCTTGAGAATTTTGAATTGATGGGAATTAACATTTGGGTCAGATCAGTGTGCCAAGCCCACACTTGAACTCTCGAACAATGCAGTCTGTATTCAAGACCCTGACAGATGATGTTAAAATCAACAAACGATTGAATGAACAGATACGAAGCTGAATGAGTGAAACTTCCATCGATTGTGTGATATGTTACCCCTCATATTATGCAAAAATGTGCTGCTAATTTTGCTGAGTTTCACTTACCTGAATAATCAAAGTTTCTCTAAATCTTAATTCAGTGGGTTGTCCAGTCTTCACTCCAAGCAAGAAACTAGCACGAGTGTCAACATCCTTCTTTAGCTGTCAAGTACCACCTGCTGTTTGGGGATAATGATTAACTTAGGTGTGTTCTGCAGCAAATAACTCAAGTTTCATAGACCTCCATCTAAAAATAAATAAATAAATAAAGATGAATTGATCCGTCACTACTAAAACTAACTATAACTGAACAACCGGAATGGGTTAAAGCGACATATCCGATGGTGCATAAAGCCACTGTGCATTACTTTAGTTCTACCAGCAGATAGTCTGAAAAGGATAAGCGTAGCCAAGGAGTGAAAAGCTCGACATTCAGAGAGTCAATGAGATGAGGATAACCTCAGGATTAGGGACTACCATTGAGAAAAAAAATTGAAAAGAGCGGAAGAGCCAAGTGGAGAAAGAAATGGGAGGTGGGGACTGCACTCGGGGAAGAAGGACTGATTAGTCTTTTTGATTTGCTGACTGGCTTGAAGGGGGAACTTCTGTGACTCAACACAGTGCCAATGGACCATCTGCTGGATTTCAAGTATGCATGAATGGTCTGACGTACACATGCGTGCTACTTGGCAATTAGAGGAAAAACCTCAAATCATATTGTGACAATACACGTCTGGCAACAGGTTTAAATAGCCCCTTGCCCCATATGAGATTTGTTTGTGTGAAACAAATGGTCGGCATTTGGCCGGACAGTGTTACATCAGCTGCTGATGTTTAAAACGGCAACACACGTACACGCCGCACACACACATGAGCCCCTGGGATGTTGAACAGCTGAATGAAGATGGTCGCATCAGCTGTCTTGCAGAAAAAGGTTGCCCAATGGGCAAAAGTACTGCAAAATACTGAGCTGGTTTCCTAACCCATTTACTGGGTCACCATGATCTTTTGAGCAGATGGGGTTACTTTTACCCAGGATTGGGTTAATAATCTTGACCCAGCAGATTGTGTTGAAGTTTGGATTGGGGCAGGTTGGTTGCATTTTGGAGTTTTAATCTATCATCCGTAGAAACGTCGGGTTCTTATGTCAGGAAAGTTATCTGGTGTAAAAACCATGCCAAACATCATGCGGGTGACTTGCTGTGGCGACCCCTGACAGGTAAAAAAAAGGCTTCTTCTTCTTTGAAAATGTTGGGAAAATGTGTATTATTTTTAATCACAACTATAATGATAAACTGGTGACCCATTTCTTGGTAGTTTTAACTCATCAGTATGGATAGCTTTTACCCTCTGTTGGGTTACATTTTTGACCGAACACACTCGGTCAAATCATCAACCCAATGCACTAAAATAACCCAGCATTGGTTTTGAGGGTAGGAGGGAGCGAGAGATCGACAGGCGGATCGGTGCAGCGTCTGCTGTGATGCAGACTTTGTATCGGTCTGTCGTGGTAAAGAAGGAGCTGAGCCAAAGGGCGAAGCTCTCAATTTAGCGGTCGATCTACGTTCCAACCCTCAACTATAGTCACGAGCTATGGGTCGTGACCAAAAGAACGAGATCCCGGATATAAGCGGCGGAAATTAGTTTTACTCCGCAGGGTGTCCGGGCTCTCCCATAGAGATAAGGTGAGAAGCTCGGTCATCCGGGAGGGGCTCAGAGTCGAGCCGCTTCTCCTCCACATCGAGAGGAGCTAGATGAGGTGGCTCGGGCATCTGATTCGGATGCCTCCTGAACGCCTCCCTGGTGAGGTGTTCCAGGCATGTCCCACCGAGAGGAGACCCCGAGGACGACCCAGGACACGCTGGAGAGACTATGTCGCCCAGCTGGCCTGAGAAAGCCTCGGGATCCGCCAGGAAGAGCTGGAAGAAGTGGCTGGGGAGAGGGAAGTCTGGGCTTCCCGGCTAAAGCTGCTGCCCTCGCGACCCGACCTCGGATAAGCGGTAGAAGATGGATGGATGGTTTTGCCAATTTTCAATGCAGCAATATGTAAGCTGTTTCACCCTATGTGGGTTACTTTTAACCCAGCAGTTTAAAGGGTTCATGTTAAATGTGTATAAAGTAATGTCATAAGTTACTTCAATACGTAAACTTGAAAGTTATAAGAATGTCTACTACAAAAGCTGTGTCAAATACTCTGCCTTTACAAAGGTAATTATGCGGAGTTTTCTTGCTTACTTAACATACCGTTTATGCATTGAGTATATCATTAAAATTATTAGGGATGCGCAATACCACGTTTTTTTTAAGTCTGACACCAGGATGTGTTTTTACTCTTAAGTACTCACCGATACTGAGTACCAATACCACTAATAGTTTTGATACACAATCATTCAATTAACACAGTGACACGCAATTGATAACAAAGACCTTTCTGTCCTCCTTTTTGGCACACATGATGATTTTCCAAAGTGTCAAACAGCTACAGTGCAGTGCCAATTACTGGCAAGGAGGAATTACTCCATGTGAGATGTTGGGTTTTTTTTTGGGGGGGGGGGTTATGCCTGAAGGTGGCTAGTATTGGCAGCCATTACGAAAACTGAAACTGTTACCTGGTATCAATATCTGCCCATCCCTAAAAACTATATTCGGTGTGCGCGTGTGTGTGTGTGTGTGAGTGTGTGTATACATATACATTTTATATATATAAAACATAACAGCCACTTCGGTCATTTCACATATTGTTGCTACCTCACTAAAGCACAGCAAGACTGCAAATCTCCCCCAACGTGACACCCAAACATGCAGTAAAAGTACCGATAACCCACGCTTGAATATACCACACACCCTGTAAAACAGCATCCATTGTGCCTCTCTTGTCGAACTGATCCTTCATTTGCGTCAGCGATCGCACACATAGCCACCTCGCTCAAAAGACCCTTCCTGCCATGCTCCAAGAGTCCTCCCGGTCAGAGGTCACCTGTGGCCTCTGGTTTCCACGACGACAGCCTGGCAGTCCCCAACATTGAGTAACCCCCCCCCCCCCCCCCCTCACACACACACACACACACACACACACACACACACACACACAAAGTGACACACACATTTTTTGTCACCAAACTGCAGACCATCAAAAGAAACTCCAGTGTGTGTGTGTGTGTGAGAGAGAGAGAGAGAGAGAGAGAGAGAGAGAGAGAGAGAGAGAGAGAGAGAGAGAAGGCTCAACCCAAACATGTACAGCTGTCCACAGCAAACACATCACAACACGTTACACAAACGATTCCCAACCACTGAAGCAAATTACTCAATTGTACCTGGTCAGAGAATTGTTGAGTACTTTTGTGGTAATTTATCTGTACATAGTGACAGACAAAAATTTAATTAAATTTCTCCACCAATCACAATTATTTTAGTATGCAGATTTTCTGGGACGTTTTTGACTGGTGGCGTGCAATGAGTTTTCATCCTCAGTAAAATATATGCCTTGGTATTTGGAAAACACTCCAGTCCACAGCGATGAAAACTACCGTCACCTAGTAGTCATTACTCTGGATGAAGCTTGAGACTAACGTTGACAGTGAAGTTCCTCCATCATCCTGCTCAGTGCACGCAGGCACACCTTCAATTGCGATTCTAACCTAAGAGCGAATAAAACGAGGAAGAAATCAGTTTTGCCACTCACCATATCCCGCATGCAGGACATGTCTTCTTCAGCGTGGGTGTCTCCCTGTAGATGAAACCATTCAAACAAGAGGATAGTTTTCCAATGTCGGCGCGAATAAGCCTGCTTGGCGCTTGCACGAACACACACTGGCATGAAGAAGCGTTTCCCTCTCAAACGTTTGGACGGAGCGGAAACACGAGAGGCTGGGAGAAAGTTGCTCGGGCACGTTGTGTGGTAAAAGTGGAGGGGGCGACATCTTGTGTCCACAATTGTAATTACGTAAGGCGTGGGTGATTTTTGCTTAAATGGATCATCCGACCATGTATGTGGTCTTAATTTGGCTAAATATTTTCAGATAGAAAATTAAGAAAAAAAGGAATGCACCATGTGGTTATACTTTAGGCTCTAAAGTATTTTGATTTTAGGATTGTGTCTGCATACAACACAACAGTGAAGATAAAATAACGTTAAGAAAATCCAAACATGTTGGCTCACTATTTAGCCCCCTGAAAATGAAGGCCCTCTGCATAAAATCACTGTAATTCATAAATGATAAATGCCTGACTTTTAATCCGAATTTCAATCAAACCTTAAACACTTGTGGTTTTAACTCTACGCATACCTAATATGTTTTGTATTTTCCAGTGTTTAAAACATGTAGGCATAAACTATTAAATTATTCAGTTTTGGTGAAATTATTCATCCCCTGGACTAAATGAATGTTTAATTGTTGAATTGTTTCTGGCAGGGAATTGTTCATTTTTCATTATTACATAAATAAAGCACTTTGTTGATCTCACAACAAAACAGTCATGGAGGAATCATACAAAAGTCAAAAGAAGTTTGAAAAACAAAGAAAATAGCCACGTATGTCTAAAAAGAAGTTTAATAGATCAACTGTGATGCACAATATTAAATGTTACATGTATTCACATTATTTTTCTGCTGGTTTTATGTCCTCATCGGAATTTTCCTCAAAAGTGAAACATACTGTGTGCCAAACGAAAGGCGCTTCAGGGTTTTGGAGGTTTAGCTTTGGGAAGCACTTTGACTGTGGTGGACACGGATTTGGATCCTTGCAGGTTCTCAGCAGTGCAAGTGTATGCTCCTTGGTCCACGTCCCTCACCTCGTCCACCAAGAGAATGGACTGAATCTGCTGACCAGTTGCGCCCCCGCCAACTGAATTGATGCTCTCGAGTGTATACAGAGGTCTCCCAATCTGCTCCCAGTACAGATAAAATGAAACAAAAATAGAACGAAAGAAGTTACAAGTCAGAGAGTGAATATGAGTCAACCTGTTATTTTAAGCTAAATTTGCCACGATCAGCGGAAGTAAGCATAAACAATGACAATTAAAATAAATTATTGCATAATCAAAACAACCACAAAGCTTTGCTTCAGATTACTGTAGTCTGTTTAGCTTAATGCTAACAAACAATGCACAACGTCATTGACGGGCTACTTAATTGGATCAGTGTTTAATTCTTCACAATCTATTTGATTATGTCATTACAATATGTTTTTATATTGTAAAATTTTAGAGAGTGCTATTTTTCTCATTAAAAAAACACATTTGAAAGTTTACCGTTCTTTCTTTTGGGAGGCTTGAACAAATGAATAGAATTTCGACTCATTTCAACAGATAATTTGACACAGACAATATATACAGGTATATCTCTCCATCCATCCATAATCTGAACTGATTTATCCTCACGAGGGTCACGGCGGTGCTGAAGCCTAACCCAGCTGACTTCAGGCAGTAAGACAGCCATATACATTTTTATATATATGAGCATAGAGTGTTTATGATATGTGACCTGCTGTCCCGGGTACTCCCATGTGATCTCTACTGCCACATTCCTCTCTCCCATCACAGTGCAGCTGACACGTAGATTGTCACCAGCAGTCAAAGAGGTCGAACTGGCCTGGATGATTGGAGCGGGGGGAGCCATGGGGTCTAAAAAAATGTTTAAAGAGGCATTTTAGAATGAGTTAATACACACAAATACACGTTTCTATTACAGTACATACACTGAAGGGACAAAATAGCTTTTAAAAGCCAACAGTAGTGGACAACAACATGTTATCTCAGCATTTTAATGTGAAGGACATACTAACCATGTTGGGATTCTGGTGTACCCACAATGAGTCATTGGCCAGCAAAAACATCAGCTGTGATTCTGTACAATTACGTGATTGCAGTATCGTGCAGGGATATGGTGACCTTTTTAAATGCATGTTGTTTTTTTCCAGACACGTTGAAAGGCCACTGAAAAACTTACAAACCTTAATCAGCAGTTCACTATTCTGGGGGGGATGACAGAAGAACTTTATGTGTGTAAGCTATTTGAAATAAATTCTGTAAACACATCTTTGTTGATGAGAAATGGTTTTCAAGAAGTTGAGATGAGTTGATCTTTTAAGTATTAGATTATTTTCGTATGTATTAAGACAGACAGAAAGTGTCTCGAACCTTTTTGGTCGTTTGCTCCACTTTACAATTCTTGATTTGACATAAATCCACTGGCCCTAAAGTTGTATAATTTTTAACTTTTATTTTGCTTTTATTTATAGTAAAAAGAAAAAAAAAGAAGTCTTAGTAGCAGTTGTGGGCATGGCCCTCAAAAATTGTTTGGGTAGCGCCCCCAAAACCGATATTTGCAACATGAAATTAGTTAGGCTTGTCTCGGATGAGTAGTTCTTCTTTCCTCCTTCATTACACACCAGTCCTTTAAATAGCAGATGAATTGTAAAGTCAGAAGTCACTCACAGTTGACATAGATGAGCATGTACTTCGTGGAGCTCTGTCTCAGGCCGCCCAGGTTGGCCACACAGTACAAGGCACCGGCATGATAAGGCCGCGGTCGATGGATGGTGAAACCTTTCTTCACATTGAAAGAGATCTCCGTCCCATCCACTGCCACCTCCACTGGCGGGAACTCGCGGTGCAGCGTTACATTGGCTGCGGGTGATGTCACCTGGCAGGGCAGGCGGGTAGGCCAGTTGGATCTCAACTGGATTACCTCGTAGTAGTCAGACGATGGGACGAAAAGCTCCTGCGGGTCTTTCACAAGACACGTCAACATCGAGTCACTATCATTAGGGTAGTGAAATGAAAGACTTTAATGTTGTAGTGTTGGCTTTTCACCATACCAGGGAAGAAAACAAAGACTTTGATAGCTTTGTCGTAGTTCTTTCTGCAATCTGTGTCCTCGCAGAACATGGGGTAGCATGTGTACTCCCCTGTGTCTGCACCTGTAGTGTTGATGAGTGTCAGAACACCATAGCGCTCATGCTGAACAATCCTGCGGAGGCGAAACAGAAAATACAGTATTCTCCATTCTCTTCCAACTTGTAACCGATCATATCGCCAAGGTTATCATTCATTCATTCATTCATTTTCCGAACCGCTTTATCTTCACTAGGGTCGCAGGGGTGCTGGAGCCTATCCCAGCTGTCTTCGGGCAGTAGGCGGGGGACACCCTGAACCGGTTCCCAGCCAATCGCAGGGAACACAGAGACGAACAACCATCCACGCCCACACTCACACCTAAGGACAATTTAGAGTGTTCAATCAGCCTGCCATGCATGTTTTTGGAATGTGGGAGGAAACCGGAGTACCCGGAGAAAACCCATGCAGGCCCGGGGAGAACATGCAAACTCCACACAGGGAGGCCGGAGCTGGAATCGAACCCGGTACCTCTGCACCGTGAAGTCAACGTGCTAACCACTGGACTACCAGGCCGCCCCAAGGTTATCATGGTTAATGAAAACTAATAAAATAACAGAAAGTAAAATTCCATACAATTTTCGTAAATGAGGTAAAATAAAAAATGTATATATATATATATATAGAGAGAGAGAGAGAGAGAGAGAGAGAGAGAGAGAAATAACAGCCAAAATGTCATTTATTTGATCATTGTCACTTAATTTTATAAATGAGCCAATTGGGTTGATTTTAAATGTAATTATTTTGGTATTACTGTATGGCCATAAGAAGGAAGGTTGTTGGGGATTTGTAGTTTATTTTAATTAACATTAGTTCATAATACTTATTGTGAACCTTGTTTATATCTTGCAATTGATCACTGCTTCGAATATAAACAAAAGTAAAACTAATACTAAAAGTAATAAAAACTCAACATGCATTTGTCTGCAAGGTACGTTCAAGACTTATCAAGCGTGAGGCCTACCTGAGCCTGCCTTCATCCTCCTCCTCCAGGTACGATGGCAGGGCCCACTGCACGGGTTTTCCCCTGCACCTCAACTCCAGAGTGTCTCCAGCGTGCACGCTTATTGTCTCTCCCACCTTCAGGAACTTACCTCTGTTTATCACCTTTGGGGTGTCATATAAAAACCAGAGTGGGTCACTTGGAAAGAGTACAGGGTCACATCTAAAGAAGGAGTTTTACCTGTATGAGTAAGTTCTGAGCCTGCATTGGGGCTTTAACCTTTGGTTTAGGTTTTACAGGCAGGGGCCCTTTCTTTACTGCTTTGGCCTGTTTCGGCTTTCCAGTTTTGGCCTTCTTCCCTGGACTCCTCCTCTGCTCTTGGGCATCTTTATGACAATAAACTAGATAGCAATCAGAACATATCATAAAACATCCCATCGTCAAATGTATCTTAACATTTCCGACGTCAGTAATGTGTGTCATCAAAGAAGAGGGAATGAGGCAATCATCGTTTGACCTTCTCCCAGAACATTTTGACGTAGTAAAGCAGTACCGGTACATAAAACGAAGGGAAACTTCCGTAAGCAGGAGCACACAAAATATGCAAGACCGATTTCATTGATATTTTATGAGTCATGTGGTAATGCATGGTCACCGAGGAACATTTTGGTAAGGATTTGGATCAAGGTGTACGGTACATGTCGAGGTGAAGTTTACCCAAACTGTCAACCACACAGAATCATAATGGAGCCAGCCATCTGTTCATCATGCTCAGTGAACCAGCAAGTAACAAACAGACAGGCAGTCAAACACAGATACTGACCTGTTTATATTTACAGTAAGCCCTCGTTTGCGGGGTTATGTTCCAAAAAGAACTCGTGATATGTGAAATCCGTGAAGTAGTCATGTTTATTTTTTTAATTTCTGATATATCTTATATCATACAAAACTGCATTGAATGAAAACAACAATGACTGGTAAACATTTTTTCAGGCCCAAGCATTAAAAAAAAAAAAAAAAACATAAATATAAGCTATTTCTTACAAACAACTGACAGTTTTTAGAAATACTCTACAGAATGTTTCGTCGACGTTGTGGGTTTTGTCATGGAGGACATTTGGCAAGCTGTACAGAAATGAGCCACGGAGACTGGTGATATTAGTCTACAGTCCCTTAGCCAATCAGGATGCAGAACACAATGCACTGTTAAAAAAAAAAAAAAACGTAAAAAACAGAACGAAAAAAATGTGTGAAAGAGCAAAGCTGTGAAAGATGTTATAGCCGGGGTTTACTGTGTATCATTTTTCTGAACATGAACAGTTTGTCCTCCCTTCTACCGAGTGACATCCTGTTTGAATATGGTCACTGTAGCATAACAACATCTAACGGTGGCCTGGGGCTCCCACATAGAAGTGTGCGTCGACAGAACTGCTGACTCACTTACCTAACTCGGAGATTATGATACAAATAAAGAGAACGCTCAGCACCAGTCTCCACTTCGACCCAAGCAAGTTCACCAAAGTCATGATGTAGGATTACCAAAGGCGGCCGGTTGTTAGTTTACGCAGTTCGATGCACTGCAAGTCAAAAGAAGTACGGAGAAGAATGAGGGAAGTCACGGGAGGTGGGCAGAACTCGCAAAATGAGTGGTCAGCTGCTTTCTAGAATCACACAAATTCCGCCTCCTGTCAGTAGCATTTGCACCCCAAATTCCTGCCGACTGGCTCAATGGAGGCTTTCAAGCTTGTCTGGACCAATGAGGGCGCAAAAGCGGAGGCCTCTCCATGAGGAATCGCAGAGGCTGTTTGCTTAGCCGCTGGAGTGGAAGTCTGTGAGCGGCATGAGACAACAACCCTGTCCAGATGAGACTTGTGGAAAGGTTATTCAAAGCATTTGGCGTGCTGTGAAAGTAATGCCTGCTGATGTTAACTTCTTTTTGTGCTTTGTACTTGCGATGTGACGACAAACCAAAAATACACCAATTCTTAATTTTGATTTTGATTTTTTCACGGAAGAATGTCGTTGCATACATGACGTGGTTGTAAATCAATCTCAGGGAAAATATACTAGAGACAGACAACCACTGCGTGCATTTTGGTTGTCAACATCATGTGCTAACCCAGTAAAAGTAGGTGAATCGTTAGTTTTTTGTGAGCATGCCATACTGTAAGTAATCGGATTTGAAAGGTCTTATTGTTGGGCAGAAAATCCGAGTGTGGGTGGGGTAAATTCTATCCTACTAGGTTTTATTTCTAATGAACCACAGGAAAACAAAAACACTTTGGCAAATATCTTGAAAACATTTGTTCTCTTTAATTAAAATATACATTTACAATTCATCATTAGAAAACATGTACACTCTATATTTACACATAGATACAAGAAACATGCTGAAATGTGACTAAAGCAAAAACAAACATGAAAAGGCCGTCACGTGATAAAAACAATAATTCTGCAAAAAAATGAATATCTCTAAATCACAATCACAATTTCAGCCAAATTTGAAAAGTACAAATATTAGCAGCTGATTTTTTTTTTTTTTATACTTACATTTTCTGCAGTGTAAAACGCAGATGGGCACAGGAATGACTTTTGCAATAAATCGTCAATACATGTCAGTATGATTCGTAAGAGAGACATTGAGGAACCTGAAGCGGAACGGATGAAAGCTTGAACTGCATGAACGCGTGCTAAAGTCATTGTGAACCACAAATGCTTGACACTGTAGCAAGGAACACCAGAGGTGCTGATAGTTACTCACGCTTACAAAACAGTGAGTCACAGTAACAACTCTATTCATCTCTCCCGATCCCGCTAGCGCTCACAATTTGCACTCTTTAAAGATGTCTTTGTCTGTTTTTTCACTGATGGTTTCGACGGCTGAAAGCTTGGTTTTGTGACGCTGGCTCTGAACGCTGTGATGCAGCCCGTAGCCAAAATAGATGAGCAGGCCTGCAGAGATCAAATATTACAGTTCACCGACTTGGATAATGATATGAAGCGCAACATCTAAATTCAAACGCAGTCCATTCTGACGCCGCTTGACTTGAAATGTTAAGGGAATGGATTTTGTTTCAGGTTCAAATTGCCATCATGAAACGTTTATGAACTGAAAATGTCATGTTCTAAGTGACATTTTAACACTCATAAGTAACTTTCACAGTGTTAACCACCATAAAATAAATGATTATACTTGGAA